TGGAATTGTATCTAAGAAGTGCAATGACATATGTAACACACGTACAACTTAAGACAGAATATTAATATGAAGATGTCTAATTGATAATTAATATCATATACATAGACAAATACCAATCTTAATCTCTTTGTTTGTAACTATAGAACTTACGTTTTATACAGAAAAAAGGAAAAATAAATGATTAATCTGATAATACCTAAACCCTTTTCAGAACCTCCCAGAAGCCATGTTGCCGAGCAATCTAAAACTCCATGAACAAGTAGTACAGCTGGCTTATTGTTAGACGGAGGACTTTTCTTTGATCCTGCAATCCTATCCAATTGCAGAACATATCGATCAGGTGTGACGACTTGATAAGTTTCGGCTGTGTATCCCGCTTTTTGTGCAAGCTCTTTCTAAGAAAAATGCTTTTTTTTAGTGTAACTGGAAATTCTGGGTACACGTCTCCAATGAAAGGGTACACATCACTGATTTTAATGAAATTTAAATACATTGTTGCGATGAAAATTTTGAACAGCTTCTTGCTAATCCCCGTGCAATTTTAATTTCGAAGATATTAGAAACTGTTGCTACTACATACTATATTGAATTTTGCCTACACATGTACGTCTATGACACGTGTGCATTATCAAAGGACCATTATTTTTTTTATTTTTTCTATGTTTATAAATGCATCGCGTTGGTTGAAAATTGACAGATATAATGGACAAACTCTTCGAAATAAATTTACCCCCTGTACATGCTCATTTAAAACTAGTATTATAGTGCACAGATAAAATAACGTCTACCTCATTTTTATACAGCCTACACTGTAACTGACTTTACGTCAGCATAAGTTAAATCTCTGTTTATTAAAATTATAACACTTGTTTGTAATATTTATGAAAGTAATAAAATAATTAGATTCATTAAAGTGATAAAATTTGGAAAGACTATATCGTAATGATAATTCTGATAGTTTCTGTATAAATATTTCTTGAACACAACTGCTGTTTCAAAAATTGAACGTTCTTATAGATATGATGAAATTCTTTACCGGAATACATTCTAAAAATGTTAATACAATTACCGACAAAATTTACTTACGGGTGTTAAAACTTTATTCGTAAAGGTTGCGTTAGAAATTTCGTTTGTTTCATGTTGTTGCCCTATAAGAGGTACTCCTAAGGTTATTGGCAACACCCAAAAGAAAATATATCTTTTAAGCATTGTCGTAGGTGATACGTGTCTAACAATAAGTAACTACGAGTTAAGTCATGGCTTTATATAAGTTTGTTACACCTTTATATATATATATATATATATATATATATATATATATATATATATATTTGTTACCAGATTCTCAGGTGGCATTATCTTATAAATAGCGGCTTAAATCGTTATCATGTAAATCGATTTAACTAGTAGAAAGATAAATCTTTTGTTTTCGAATTCATTTTTTTTTTGGATATTTTCATAATTTTATCTTTCTCATACGTGAATGGAATTCATGTAAACAATGATAATTAAAAATAACGATTTTCAATCCTTGGTGTACAACTTTGATTTATTACTTGCATGATTCGAAGGAAATAGATACGAGTAAATGAGAAAAACATTAACAAGTGTAATCCATTTTATTCGAAAAAGTCTGATGTTTAATTAGTATTGTAAGTATATCTTTATTTTTCCTATCTAACACTTATAGATTAGTAAATATTTGCTGTAATCTGAAGAATGACTATGTAACATCCAAGATAAAAAAATACTAATTAAATACCAATTATTTTTTCTTCCTGTAAAAAAAATTATTTCTTATACGTAGAAACAGAAATTGCTATCATTTTAGCTAACATTTATTGTAAACGAATAGACTCAGAAAATCTTTATTGGTTTCCTTAAGATACAATTATGTGTCTCTAATTTATCAGATCTTTTCGTAGTTTTCAAATTTTTCGAAACTTTTTTCAAAAAGTTTTTATTATAACATCACAAATTATACAATATATAGGATATATTTTCATCATAATAATGGGCTGGTTTCAAAAATTTGACTTCCTATTTATTTATCTGTAGAATTTCGGTGAAATCGTTTGAGTGAAATTTTCAATTGAAAGAGAAAGAATTTGTTATGAAACATATTAAGAAGATTTATATAATGAAAATATCGGAACTTTCATCGTTAATCGCTACGCGAACGATTGGAATATTTTTTCCCATAAACTTCTATATGGGAAAAGTGCCCCATAAATTGCTGAATACACAAATTCATCATTTAACGAAATTTCAAAACATCTTCTATTCCACTTGGACTTTTTTTTTTCTTTAAATACGTTAATTAATTAAAAGAGACTGCATGAATGAAAAATACTGTGACAAGTTCCAAGAATCTTTGAATTTTCAAATTGATAATTCGTTTTTAGTTTCGAAAGACCCCGGTGGTGGGTCGGCCAACAAATCAAAGGAAAAAGAGAGAGGATTCCAAATATAAAATTTTCGCTTCAGGTATAATTTTTGAGATATTAATGAAAAGTTTCGGTCATAATTCATTGAATTCTGCGTATATATACAGGCATTGTTAATGTAACAATTCTGGATGTAGTAGTCGTTGTTGTTAATTGTTGAATAGCCGTAAACACAGGTGTTTATGAAAAATTTGGCGACGCACACAAATGCAAATGCAATAATACGAGAAAACTCTGTGAAATAATTAAAATTAAATATATAATGCTCTTTAATAATAAAATTAGCTCTCTCTCTCTCTCTCTTTTAAACTAATTGCATGATCACCAGTACTCTATAATGTTTACCAGTCAGAAAGACAGTTGTGCTAAACAAATTACATTGTTATGTAATTTGCGTGACATTTTCGTAGCATCAGAATTACATTTGAGAACATTTCATATGCACCGATGCGATAGAATGCCTCCTAATGAAAATTTGTACACAATGGAAACTGGAAATATCGTGGCGAAGAAGGAGAACGCAGTTGTTGTGATCGAGACAAAGCACTGCGTATCAAATCCATGTATTTTGTTCAAAGCGTATCTCTCTTGGAATCTCACAGGTGTTCATCATTCGATTTATTTACTCATAGTGTGTTGGTTACGAATAATATTTATCCAGTTTACTTAATAATCAATTCGTTCAGCAATAAAAATCCGAAGTAGATAGAAAGTAAATTGTTAGTGAAAAACATTTCATTCTTTTTATGTTCTCTCGTTCTCTGTGTCGTTGAAATTGAATATGATAAGCAGCATTGCTTATCATGCAAATTTTATTCCTTTTTGTAGTAAAATTATTTGGAAGAAACTGAATGATTCTCCGTTGAATGAAAGTTGGCCGTGAAAATAATGAAACCGAGGTTTACCTTTGGTAACGCGTATAAAGAAATATATATATAAAAAAATATAACATAATTATTTAACAATTATAAGCGGTATAATAATTATAATATAATGTATCATTAATTATTACAAATTATATTATAATATAGAAGCACGTAATACACAGTAATATATGATATAAATACATATAATTATATAAACTTTGTTGATTATATATATTTCATATTATATTATATATATTGTATAAAAATAAAGTTAGAAAATTGAAATAGAAAAATTACAGAATCTGGTTGGACCCGTCCACTTTTTACGCTGAAAAGATCGTCAAGAGCATCCTAACGTAATCCAAACGAGATTTTTATTGCATGCTCGTTCAGGACGTGAAATTTACAACGATGATTCGAAATCTATTTTTCAATTAAAATTCGAATCGGCGAAATCTGAAAGTGTTGCGATACACGGAAGCGACATTGACGCGTTTCTTACGATGTAAGTTCTTCTAGACTTGCTAATTAATATAAAGTGAATTTATTATCGATCGGGTTTCGTTTATAGATGCTTTATAGACACGTTGAAATTGTTAAAAATGTTACCATCATTTTCAGTTTATCTTCACATTATCAATTCTTTTCAGTATGTTGATTGAAACTTTCAATATAATACCTCAGGATTAGTACGTCAATTAAAGACAAAAAGATGATCAATTCACTGTTTAATCGCGCGTCATTAGAAAAGCTGGGATTGTAGAAATCATTATTTACGTATGAATGATTTCGCTTATCACTAGATAACGTTCGTTCGAAGATTGAATTACTTTGTTTACCAAGAGAGACGGAATTCTAATTCCTGTATTGATTCAGTTGATACTTTCGATAAAGTATCAATTACGAGTATTATAATGTGCGAAATTGCATATCAATAAATTTGTATGAATTATTATAAAAATAAAAAAAGGGAAAATAATTTCTCTCGTTATTAATCATTTGATTTATTTTAGAAATTTATAGCCAACAGTTAATAAAATTTTATATTTCTGACAGTTTAACTTTAATTTAACTTAATTTAATTTAAGTAATTTTATACACCGCTCATTGAAATGCTTTATAAGATATACTATGTGTATATAATATATATATATATTTACATATGTATAAGAAATTTATATTTTTTCTCAGTCATAATATAATCGTCACAAATGTTCAAACTACGTTTGAAGCATTTCGAAATTGAAAGTATCGAAGAAACTGATTCTAAAACTCATAAATTAATACATTCCAACTGGTCTTTGAATGATCTTTAATTAGATCATGAAAAGAAATACAAAATCTTTGTGAAATGAATATTCAACGTTTTTTTTTTTTTTTAATTTTCGTAAATTGACGTAGTCGTTGATTATAGTGTCGCTAAATATGTCACTAAATAAGATTTTCTAATGAAAAAGTCACACGGAAGGAACAAAAGAAAAACTCAAGATTCATTTTTATTAACATGATAGGGTGCATTTATTCGCACAAAGTGCATTAACTATTTGCACGAAGTAACAATTCATATTTCTTTTTTATAACGTTCTAGAATACTTAGAATTTCATTGTATACCCAAGTATCTGCGTGCTTTCCCCACACGAAATCAACGTGCGCAAAATTGTCGGATGGTATCAAAAATTTCTGAACATTGGGTAACGCATCGTACAACTGATGCAAATTCTGTAAGAACATTAACAAGCAAGTAAAAATTCTGAACAAATGGAGGATTTTCAGTAAACGTATACAAACGTATACAAACCTGAACATCGACAAATATATCATTGCCGCCGTAATACAAATATACTGGTAACTTGACATTGCTGAGATTATAATCCGGGGGAAGTATCTTACCGTATTTCTTCACGTTACCGAGAAGGCCATAGTCAAATTTCCGGAACTTGCCTGTGAAAGGAAAGAATGTAATGTGAAACAAAAAATTGTTATGTTAACCTGTATACGTTTGATTATTGAATATTAACCTGTATGAATCGATTGACCATAATGTACGAATTGTCTAACAGAGGCACCAGCAGGATCATATTGCGTGATAAGGGGCAACAGAGTCTGTAAATGAAAATCAAGCTGAGTGCAAAACTTGTTGTATATAACTGTTAATTAATAATGCATTATTATATAATTGTGCGATTACCGTGTTAAGATCTTTATCAACACCAGCATATAGGAACATGATGTTTTTACATAATGGCTGTAAAAGTGATTCATCGCGGCACAACTTGCTTCCAACCATTTGTATAAGTTTGTCGGATGGTTTAAATTCATACAAGCCTATTAAATCCGCTAGCAGCTGTAAAAAGACCGAAGGTGTAAAAACTTTGTTTCGCCCAATATTCAAATTAGTAATTTTAGTAATTAATAATTTTGTAAAATTGGAAATTTTGGCTGTGAATAACCTCAATAATTATTAGTAGTGTTAAATTTGCTTTTGGAACGTACTTTGAAATGGTTAGAAAAAGGGGCCAACATCTGGAAAAGAGGACTTTTTGTCCGAGACATGAAGACTGCCGGGGCCAGTGCAAAGGAAGCGACAATTTTCTCTTGATACTCTGGCCGTTCACTAGCCATCACAAAGAACGCGGTACCACCCTGGCTATGTGATACCATAAAGATCTTCTTTTGCTCTGTTTTCTCAGTAATGTGATCGATCATCGCTGGGATATCGTACATTCCAATCTCATGCCAACTGTACAAACGGATCAATTATTATCAAACTACAACAACTTGATCTCCGGGAATATATATCTCAATGTATTAGTTATTTCGTACCTGAACATCCAAAAATTTTGGTCTGAAGGAGTCCAGTCCAAGTGCTTCCGTGAGTACCTGTTGCCACGCACATTGCCCAGCCATACGTCGTAACCCCAGTCTGCTAATATGAAACCTAAGATTCGAGGGGAAACATTGATCAAGTATTTCTCAGAAGTTGAACAGCAGCGGGAATAAGAAAATTTACATAGCGAACAGTACAGAGACAATTCAGAGTTTCACGAAATGAAATTACAAGAGCAACGAATAGATGCAATGTATAATACATCTAAAACTCGAATGTTAATGAGAAAATGTCTGATTAATAATCAAGGTTCATAATGAGTCGTCATAATCATATACATGGACAAACAACAATTTTAAACTTTTTGTCTGCCACTAAATGTTTCGAAAGAAAGAAAAGAAAAGGGGAAACAAATGGTTAATTTGGTAATACCTAAACCCTTTTCAGGGCCTGGTAGAAGCCATGTTGCCGAGCAATCTAAAAGTCCATGAAGAAGTAGTACAGCCGGTTTATTGCCGGACGGAGGACTTTTCACCGATCCTGCAATTCTGTCCAGTTGCAAAACATACCGATCCTCTGTGACGACTTCGTAAGTTTCGGCTGCGTAACCAGCTTCTTGCGCAATCTCTTTCTAAAAAAAAAAAATGCTCGCATTCATTCCAGCGTGACTGGGTACACATCACTGATTTTAATGAAATTTAAATGCATTATTGCTGCGATGAAAATTTTGAACAGCTTCTCGCTAATCCCCGTGCAATTTTAGTTTCGAAGAGTATTCGCGAGAAACTGTTGCTACTTGAATTTTGCCTACACATGTACGTCCATGACGCGTATATATCATCAAAGGAGATCATCATTGATCTATCGTTTCTACAAATTCATCGCGATCGCTGGAAATTGACAGATACAGTGGACAAACTCTTCGAAACAAATTTCCCCCCTATATATGTTCATTTAAAACTAGCATTGTAATGCACGGATAAGATGTCCAACATAGATGAAGACATAGTATATAAAGACTCGGTATATGAGTTAGAACTCCGTCTATTAAAATTGCAATACTTGTTTGTAATATTTATTAAAATAACAAAATAATTGAATTCATAAAAGTGATGAAATTTTGGAAAGATTGCTGTACCACAAGATGTCTATTCTAACACATTTTGTGTTAATAACATTTTTTATATCAAGGTACACTGTCTCAAGAATCGTAAAACATACTTGTGGATAACGAAGTTCTTGTCTGAAACACATCCTATGCGTTTATAAAGTTGTTAATAAAATTTACTTACGGGAGTTAAGACTTCATCCTCCAAGGTAGCGTCAAAAATGTCGTTTGCTTCATGATGTTGGCCTGTAAACGGTACTCCCAGGATTACGGGCAACAAACAACACAAAATAAATCTTCTGACCATTGTCGTAAGTAACTACGAATTATATCGTAGCTTTATGTTGGTTATGGCCTTATATATACACACATATATACGTATACGTGTGTCTGTGTGTCATCAGATTCTCAAGTGATGTATGTTTATGTCAGAAAATAGCAAATTAAATCATTATCAATTATCAGATCAATCGTAGATTATAAATGTAAGTATATCAACTGCATCTGTCCTGTAACAAGTTACCAAAAAGATATATTTTTTTGTGTTACGATATGTTTGTATTGATACATGATTTGTATCGAATTCTTGTTTTTCGTAAATTTTCAGATTTCTATTCTTCCCATAGATGAATGAAATGCATGTAAATGATGTTAATTAAAAACAATGATATTTAGTCTTCAGTGCACAGACTTGATTAACTTGCACGATTTGAAAACAGATAAAAACGAATCAATAACAAGAATAAAAGTTACAAGTGCAACCCATTTGAGTCGAAGAAATCTGAGCTTATTAGTTAATATTGTTTTGAAAATACTTTCTCACTTCTTATCTCACACTTGTAAATATTTGTTACGGGTTTAAAAAATATCTCACTATAAAATAATATCTACAATAAAAGATGACATTTAAAAGACTCAATAATTTTTTTCTTTCTGTAAGAGGAACTATTTTTTGTATGTATCAGAAGGAATTACTACCTTCCAGTTTGATAAACGAATAAACATCACGACTGTACAAATAAAAGTAATAGTTCGCGGCTTTCGAAATCTCTGATGTCGAATTGTACTTCGAAGTCACATTATAATTTTGAAGTTTCAGTTACAAAGATATGTGAACTGTAATATGTAATTTTCATTCCAACGATAGAATGTATTGAAAATTTAATTTTGTATTTATTTATTCGCAAAAATTTCCATCACATTGCGCGAAATTGATTGAGTGATATTATTAAGTTCGTGAGATGAAATGCAATCTCCACGAAATTTTAGTTAAAGAAGGACATATGAAGAAGATTTAAAAATGTTTAGTTAAAAAAGAGAGACATGTTAGGAAGATTTATAACAAAAATATCAGAAAGTTACTCAATGAAATATTACATGATTTTTTACTATAAATATGTGCATAAAGTAAACACACAACTCTGTTGAGTGCAACCAACATGCACAAAGTGAAACTTGTTGCAGATATACATTTGTCACTTTTGAAAAGTTCACGACTAAAGAGGCTCCATGAAAACATTGTGAAGACTGCGTTCCAAGAATTTTTGAACTTTCAAATTAACTCCAGACCCGGGTCGATTTGAAAACTTAAGATGTTAGGGACGAGCAGAAGAGGTATGCGAAATATAAAATTTTAAATTCATGTGTTTCTTAACTTTATTATTTATTACAATATATTGAATTTTGTATATTGGATAGGATTTTGTAATGGAAGAGCCACAAAAGGAAATTTATGATCACTCATATTTCTATTAACATAATAGTATAGATAGAATATAAAAGCATCAAAGATAAACACGTTACATAAGTAATAATTAATATTCTAATTTCTATAACGCTCCATAAGATTCAGAATTTTATTGTATAGCAAAGTATTGACATGCTTTCCCCACACGAAATCGACATGCGCGAAAGTGTCGCATGGCATTAAAAATTTCTCAGCATTGGGTAATATTTCGTATAACTGCTGAATGTCCTGTAAAACCATTGACAAGGAAGATTGAAAAATTCAGGACCAATTGAAGATCCGCAATTAATACTATACAAACCTGCACGTCGACAACTATATCATTGGTGCCATAATACAAATATACTGGTAACTTGACATTGCCAAGATCATAATCAGGAGGATTTTTTCTGCCATACTTCTTTATGTTACCGACAACGCCATAGTCAAATTTCCGGAACTT